ATATATATATATATGAATTACACATATATATAAACTAACTTATTGGAAATCTCCACAGAGTGAATACAAGAGAAGAAAAAAGAGGCTAATGTAATTGAACACAAAGGAAGAAGAACTATATCCAAGTTTATGACAAAAGATATTGTGAAGAGATCTGAATATCTCTTTTTTGGATCTCTAAAAAATTTTTATTTATCAACAGAAGAGGTAAATTAGATCCAAAAATGTAGCATTTTTTCTTTTTCTTTTTTTTTATTTTAATATGATGCTGGATTCCTTTATAGCAGTTCTGTAAAACAAGGGAGTCGCTTGTTTTAATCTCTTGAAAAACAAGAGATTATTTAGTGATAGATATTGATTGTAATGCTCTCCTTTAATTGCTTGAAAATCCTCCTTCCATGTCAATGTAATCTTATTTTATTCTATGTGCAACTGTTTATTTAAACTAATTATTCCTTAATGTCCCTATTCTATGTGAAATTTACCATGGAAAATTTCTCAGTGTTTTATATAAATTAAGTCTTTTACTCATCAAAGGAATCCAGAAGGTGGATGCTGTTATCAATTTCTGTACACAAATGAGACATCAAAGACACAGATCTATGACCTTTGATCCTCATTAAATCATAATTTCCAAGACTGTGTCATATATGCAGTCATTTTCCCTAATAGGTCCCTCTGTGTGTATGTGTATACATTTAAGGAATCATAGAGTGTATTAAAATAACACAGAGCTTAGAGTCAGATGCACTGTGTTTAACTTGTGCTCTGCTATTTACTAGCTGAGTGATTTTCATCTTAAAAGATCAGTCCTCTCCTGGGTAAAATAAAAATAGTACACATATTGAAGTCTGTTCTGTGTTGACAAGCTGTTCTGTTTGTCTTGGACTAAGGTCTCTTCCAGGATGAACTTCTTTTGCAATGCTGAAAGCAGGAAAGTCTCAGGCAAATCAAAATACCACATTTGTTGTGAACATTAACATCAACAGCAATAAATAAAGTGTCTAACATTTCTCTCACTGCATATTAAATTTCTTTTTGCCAACATAGTTGTATACCTCTATGACATCATGGTTCCTTACATGCTTACCAATGCTGTGTATGGCTCCTGGCCATGTTCATGTACAAGAGTTACTGTGCTGATGTCTATGTGAGACTAACACACTCCAGAATTTCTAATGTTCCTAAACACATGTCGACTAGGAGCCAAGAGTGAACAAAAAAATTATTTTGGCTTTACACAAGTCAGCACAACTGAAGCTATTGGATTATTTTCATAATAATCACACAGAGCTCCAGAGGGTCATTGCTGAAGTTTTTGGGTCATTTTTCCAAAAAAAAGTGAAGTAGCAATCACAAACTGAGACCAATGACAAAGGAGAAAGAATAGGTACTCCCTTCCTTTCTTGTGTTCACCCATGATTATGCAATCGAATCTACTAATCTTTTCATTACATTTAACCAAGTAGGACAAAATACTCTGCAGTTCCATTTAACTATTCACATGAAGCAATACAATTACATGAAGACAAGTCCAACATGTCCAACATCTAAGCCTCAAGAGGTCCATTCTACCACTCATTCTCTCATTTATGCTGCCCTTCCCAGAGCCCAATTCCTGTGACCTCTGCCCTCTCTGCATTTTTATCATCCAAGGTGAGGCAATAGAAAAATCCTCAGTGACATAAATGCTTAGGATCCTTACCTCAGTTTGCTAATTTCTTAAGGAAAGCCTTGAGAGCAATCTATGGTGGAGAAAAGGGTAAAATGACTGTCTCGTGCTTCAATTTAATTAGATTCTTAGTAAACATTCATTATACTACTTGTTCAGATTGGTGCTAAATGCTACCATATACCAAAAAATGAACAAAATGCAATCCCTGAATACCATACAAAGGAAGAAAGCATGAACCTGACTAAAATAGAAAGTATGATACAAGGAGTAACAGATAAGAAGTACAAAATTATTACAGATAGTGACATCATGTCTATTTGCAGGGCAGAGAAATAGGACAGACCTCAACAGAGGTTGAATGATGAATGATGCACAGGATTAAAGCCAAGTATGAGGAAAATCACATTTTGGTATCATACCAGACAGGAAGATAACTGAGTGTGTTAAAAGAATAAATTTATAATTTTTAATTTTTTTCAAAATTAGGGGAAATAAATAGTGGGAAATATAAATGAAAAAGTAGGTATTAATCAGAAAGCAGGGCACCTTCAATAATAGACAGGGTTAATGAGTTTTAAGAGTGTTCTGCTGGTAGAAGGGACAAAATAAAAAGTGCTAAATAGGAAGATGACATCACCAGTCCAACTTTCAAAAGAGAAACTAGAAAAGAATCCAAAGGCTAGAAGGACAGGATGTACAGGAGGGCAGGTTAGAGTATTAGTGTAGTCAGGTAAATGATGGAAGAGGTAGAGGTCAAGAGTATGAGACAAGATGCAGGGACCTGATGGGGGTCCTATAAGCAAAGGGTGTGTGTCTGTGTGTGTATTTGTGTATCTATATGTGTATAACTATTATGAAAGTGAAAAGGGTGGAAATGAATGTGTTCATTTGTTCAACAAACATATATAAGGTAACAGAGCTCTCCCATACATGTAAACTACAGAACTACAGACACCCAACATGTAAACTCTCCCATAACTCCAAACCCATACAATCATAGCTTAAAAGTCCAACAAACACTAGACAAATGAGTAAATGACAAATGAGTTAATGAACATGGGTGACCTAGTGAAGAAAAGAGGGATCAACCTAAAAACCTTTAAAATTTCCCACCTTTAAAATGCCACAGAACAGTAAAAAGTGGGAGACTTGAGTGAATCCTAAATCATTATCCACTGTCTCTAAGATAACTTTATAATTTTTAACCAAATTAAATTGAGATTGCTCGTTCTAGAAAATGTACAACTACTTGAAATCACATTGTTAGCTTATTAGAGTATGTGCTGCGTTCCATCTGGTTTGCCACTTTTCCCAATAAATATCTGATGGATGAGTGAGTTCAGGCATTATCCTTCCCCAACCCCCAAGGACAGCTTTTTTGGGTGCGGGCAGCTCAGAGGCGCCAGGTGGAGAGTGAAGAGACAGACTCCGAAGCCCACACATACCTAGGTCAACTATTCTAGCTTTTACCTCTAATATCAGCACCACACATCTCCCCCTGCGCAAGAACAGTACTCAAACACTGAATAGTACACAAATACTGAGACAACTTGACAAATTGTTGGATTATTAATAGAGAACCTCTAACACCAGAATTACTGAGTGCAAGAAAGATTCAGGATCTTTTGCTCTACTCACCTGTTGTAGGAAATGACAGTGATGCTGACAATTAGGATAACGAACAAGAATAAAACTATCCCTATAGTCATGGGAACGGTGTATTGGTTATCAGTTTTACCTAGGAGAAAAAAAAATACAGTAGGAATTAGGAAATCAACTCATGTCACAAAAAGAAGGTAGAAAAATGAAGAAAGGGTATATTAACAGTTAAAAACCAATGATCTAATAAAATTAGGATAGGCACAGGGGAGAGGCAATTATTCCTTTAGAGTTTCTTTAATATGTTTGATTCATCCCAGGTTTTCACTAGTTTCCTGATTGAGCTGGAAAAACTTAAGAAGAATACAAAAGGCATACATTTAATGTAGAAATCACTTCATTCCAACAAGTGCCCATCAAACGAACAAAATCTTTTGTTTAAAAGCAATGGAAAACTGTATGATTTTTTGTGTCTGATAGATTAAGCACGTTCAATGTACAGCATTGTGCAACTTTAATGTTTATTGGTAGAATTTTGTTAAAAATATTTTCTACTAGATTTGATACATTTAATAATTTAAAAAATAGTCTGGAAAAATATGTCACTGCCACCAAATATTATCTGGAAGTTTACGATGGTCCAGGAGTCTGAAGTTGTCACCCTGGATTATAAATTAGCTGACGACCTCCAACATAGCCCTTCACATCTTCTTCACGGCTTGCTTTCATCTGCCAAGTGACAACAATGACAGCAACTCTAATTGCATCACAGGATTGTGGTAAGAATCTGATGATCCAATGTTGAAAGGAGTGATGAACTTGAACTCCTAGAGAAATGGCACTGTTAGAGCGTGATCCCAGAGACTATTCTTGCTATGTCTCTCTGCCCGCAATGCGCTTACGTCATCTGTCCCCACCCATAGGGAACCTCCTAGGCGCCTCACACAAAGAAGAGACTGGATCAGCACCTACTGCTAGCAGGAGTGAAACTGAAGGAAAACAACAAATTTGACTATCTCCTCCCCAGAAAAGAGGACAGGTTATGAGAGGGCAGTACAACTCCCCTTGTTCTTGAAATGGAACCTTGGTATGTGATTCCTGAGCCGTCTGAAAACCAATTGGTCTTTCCCTTTATTTTCCTCTGATTGTTTCTTCCTTCTTAAAGCACTATTCAGTTGTAAGTTTTTCCACAGTAAAAACTCCAAGTCTAGAACCATTAACTTATAAGCTTTACTGCAAAGCAAAACTAAGACAAATAATAAACCTTATTTTTATTTGTTTCATCTAGATTCTGCACTTAAAAGCTTATACAGTAGTTTTCTTTTTTGTGCTTGGATTATTTAGTATAACGCTCAGCGTAACACTCTCCAGGTTCATCTGAGTTGTCTCAAGTGACAGGATTTACTTCTTTTTATGACTGTTATTCCACTGTGCACATATACATATATATATACAGCGTGGTCCTTATCAATTCATATTTTGGTGGACATTCATATTGTTTTTATATGTTGACTCTAGTGAATTACACTGCATAGATATAGATATCTCTTCGATATACCCATTTCATTTTTTTGGATATATACCCAACAGGTATTGATACATTGTGTGGTAGTTTTGTTTTGAGTTTTTGGGACACCTCCACACTGTTCTTTTTTTCATGACTATACTTACATACACATCCACTAACACTGTACATAGATTCCTTCTGCCTTATATCACTGCCAACATTTGTTACTTATCTTTTTGCTAAGAGCTATTCTAACAGTTAGGAGGTGTTTTTTCATCGTGGTTTTGATTTTCATTGCCCTGATAATTAGTGGAGCTGATCAACTTTTCAAATACCCATTGGCCAGTTTTATGTCTTCTTTGGAAAATGTTTATTCAAATCTATTGACCATTTTTCCATAAGGTTATTTGTGGTTTTCTTCGATGAAATACTGAAACTTGCAACAGCAGGATGAACCTAGAGCACATTGAGAAACAAGCCAGACACAGAAACTCAAATACCAATGACTTCACTTGTAGGTGGAATCTACAAACAACGAAACCATGGAAGCAAAGTATTCCACAGTAGTTATCAGGAGCTGAGGGGTTAGAGGTCAAAGTATATGAACTTTCAGTTAGAAGACAAACAATTTCATGGATAACAATGGATAACATGGATAGTGAGGGATGTGTCAACTAATTTGATTGTTCCAATAATTACACAATGTTTACATAAATCAAACCATCATGTTGTTTACCTTGAATATATTTAATTTTTGACAGTTATATGTATACTTTTTTATTTTAAAGCAATTGTTTTCATTAGGCTTGTGGTATTTTCCAAATTTTGTAAATAATGTGTTGTTTTGTAATCAGGGAAAAATAGTATAAAATTTTAAAGATCTATACACTTAAAACAGATTATTTTACCAAACTTCACTGGTTATATTTAAGGGGCAGGATTTAAAGAACTGCTTTTTTTTAGAAGTAGACAGAATTCTTAAGAATCAAGGTGACTTTTTTATCAAGTTGTAAATTATGTGAATTTGGAAGTAAAATCCAACTGAAAGTGTGACTATTTGTGTCACCCTGCTAAATTCTAAGTCCAAATTTTAAATGTTTAGTTTGAAATATATTTTCACCTCTTCTAGGTATGCCTGACCTCTCAATGTCTGCTCCATTCATCCATTAAGCATCTAAATGTATACCATTGCAATGTAGCTGGTAGTACAGATAAGGTGCTGGGTAAACAAAAAATTTTTGGAGGCATACTGGGGATCAAACTCAGGCCTTTGTTCCTGCAAGGAAGGCGGCAGAACCACTGAGCTAAATCCCCAGCCCTCTTGGGTAAGCACAAATTTAAGATTTGATTTAGTGTAATTTATGTTCTTTTGAAAAGTCCTCCACAATTTAAGAACAGGCACGAAGCAAGCAACAGGTGTAAAACGTAGAGGATAGGTGCATCTGCAGCTGTGCTCCTGAAACAGCGCAGGGACTGTTCATTCCCCCAAGTAAGTGATGCCTCCCTTCCCCTCCCTCTGCCTGTAGCTGAGGCGTGCACAGCAAGGCCCTGGGCCTGGTAAGAAATAAAAAAGCAAATGGGGGTGGAGGTTTGAAGGAGTTAATCAATAGTTCATAACATTCATTTTTTCCTTAAATTCTACTATTAGATCGTCTGTTGAATAATGTCAGCCCTCAAGCCCTTCTCTTGAAGAAAGAAGAATTATTGTGTGTTTTCAGTGACCACTTCGTTGGTGACTTTTTTTAAACTTACATTGCAATGCTGTACTGATTCATAGGAGGACAAAAATGTCTTGAACCATAAAGTTATTATTTTTTTCTCCCATTACAAATGATAAGTACAGTTAAAATAATTTAAAGCAAGTTGGTGAAATTTATAAATGAATAATTTACTCCAAGCCTGTGACCCTCTAGGCTACATTTCTGCCAGTGACGAGTATTTATGGCTGAGTTATAAACCTTTAGAAATGTCTCAAGATAGAAATGTTGCCAGGCCCTTCCCACAGAGCCCGGCAGGCAGGGCAGCCACAAATGGCTGTTGTTTCTCCTTTTTTTAGAGTTCAGAATAGGGAAGGAAGTAAAGACATCAACTTACTTAGAACCTAAATAACTGAATCAAAAAGCATGATAGGAAAAACTCACACATCCTGACTCTGTAAAAAGCCCTGGGTCGTGGGGTTAGTTAAAATTATTATTTTACTTCATTAAAGAGAGAAGCATAAATGGCTAAAACGGAAGTGGGAAGGGGAGGGGAAAGGAAAAAAGGGAAAAGAAAAAATGTGAAAAAATGGAACAATGGAACAAAGTCTTTGTAAATAGGGAAGCGTGAAGGGGATGAAGGGAGGGCAGGGGTATGGGGAAAACATAAGAAACAAGACATATCAAAGATGCAAGATCCCAACGATAAATATAACTATTGTCTGCTTTAAATGCACCAATAAACTTAATGGAACAAAAGAGAAGCATAAATGTTAGATCTCAGACTATGTACAGTAAGTTAAGGTAGAGAAGAAACATGTGAGTTGACAGATTCTGTATATCAGATGTTCCCAAATTTCAGCTCGCTAATGACACATAAAAATACCCCAACGACCACCTCACATTAGACAATGGTTGTTTGAAAGACAGACACAGGAGGAAAGTGTAGGGCTTGTCCTGTCTTCTAATTCTTCTCCCTGGAAGATCTTACATAGAACATTTAATCTCTTTTTGGCACCTATAAAATCAAGCCTAAGGAGAGCTATGGGATTTAAATAAAATGTATAGAGGCACTTTAAATATTTTTAAGCACCACATATATTCTTAATAGTACACCTTACATTTTTACTAACCTTTTAATATGCATATATTCCAAACTAAGATTAACTCATCACTACTCTTTTCATATTGAAATGTCATGTTGAATTAGTCATAAATGACAAAGGACACTTGCTCCTGTAGCTAGACTCACTTTTCTTAGGAAGGGCACAGGCAGTGGTGACTAACATACATAAAGTACCTAAAGCCTTGGAGGATCACAGGAAATAACTAGCCAAAGGTTTGTAAAACTGTGATCCTGAAATGTATTTCAGGTAAACGCTGGTGTGGTAATATTATTCCAGGTCCTCTAAGGTCATCTGTCTTTGTAGAGGTCAGTTTTATACTTCTTGTTTCAGAAATCTTTCCTTATTTTTTCATAAGTAGGACCTAGGGAGTAAACGATGCCCAAAGAATTAAGGGACCATGACTTCAACCTCCAGTCTCTCTTCTGAATAAATAGAAACTACTTCCTTAAAAACTATTATCAGGCTTTAACTGAGAAGCATAGGTGCAGAGGATCTCAGCAACGTTCTTGTCGTTATACAGCAAACCAATGAGGGAAGCCAGTGACCAACCTGAAGTATAGATTTGGCTTCCATCTGCTTTTCTTGGTGGAAAGTAGTTTTCAAAACGGCTTAAGCACTTTAAAAGATTATGTCAGCTCAGAGCACATATTCCAAGAGCAGCTGTAAGTTTTACCTAAATAATGTAGGACGAGCACATTAATGACGCCTTCTGACACCACAATGGGTGTCGCACCAATGGGGCACAGTGTTCAAGAACACTTGTTGTGGGGCAAGGGCATTTAAATTGGCAGATGAGGATGAAGGTCTG